CTACGACATGCTCTCCTTCATAGAGGAGAGCTTAGAGGAGATCCAATGGGTAGGTGGTTCCCAGCTCGCCCGGTGATGTAAGCGAGAGCTCCATCACTTGGAGGGGCTGATGTATCGCCTCGAGGGCTTGGTGCACACTGACTCCGACGACGAGCTCCCACCCCTGGTGATGAGCGCCATGTTTGAGCGCGAGGCTCTGGCGAGGCGCATTTTGGCACAGGAGGCTGAGCTTAAACGTCTGCAGAAGCAACATCTCACCTTGCTGGACAAGATGGACGCTTACCACGTCAATTGTTCCTTCATGGAGGTGAAGTCTCTTCAGGGGGAGGAGAACTTGAAGAAGTGGCAGACCGAGAATGAAAAGGTCTGTCGCCTTGCTACTAGAGTGTGGCAGGTTCTCCGAGGTCTACGCCAGGAGGCAGAGGACGGTGAGGCTACCCTCGCCCGGCGCTTGCAGACGTTAAAGCGAAGATCGCCACCTTTAGTCTGTCGAAGCTGCTCTAGGATGTTCTCCTTTTATTATGCCTAAAAAAAACTTTTGATGATGTTTGTTATGTTTTAACCATGTTCCTCGTAAACTTCGCCTGTCAAGGCTTTTCATGTTTTAGGTTATTTATCATTTTGTGTGCATAACCCCTCCCCTTTTTTTATTTTCTAGTGTTGATATGATCGTTGGCAGCCACTGTGTTGGACTCGCTTTCACTTTTCGTTGCTCGCCTGAGTCGAGCTAGTCATACCATTTCTCGTAGTATGGCGAGCCTTCGACAAGTTTGTCTTAGACTCAGTTGCTAGGATCCCCTTCTGCTTTTGGTTGTTCATAGCGTTGGGTCGGGTTAACCCCGACTTTCGCGTTGCAGCTTAGGCGAAACCGAGAGGGTGATACTTAGCTTGAAACAAGGAGCAGTTGCTCGTGCATGCGACCAGCTGAAGACCCTGGCTATAACTTGCCATTTGGCGAGTTGCTGTCTGGGGGAATAGTTGGGACATGTCGCCTGCTAAGCCGCCCTTGATAATTATCGTCGTCTGAGAGGACGACGGTGTAAATGATAATCAAATCGTTCAGGGATGTAGGAATGTGATGATCGATTGCTGTAGGAGTCGTCGTGTGGTAGGCTACTACCCATCAGTTATTCTAAGAGAATATTAGGATAGCCGGAATAGGTCAGGTAGTTCAGGGATATTGGAGTGTGACTGTTGACCGAAGTAATAACACGTCGCATGGTAGGTTACTACTTAGGCTATGTTACTCGTGGGAATAACGGTGCCAGTCATCAGAGGTGATCATTAACGTGATGGCGTTTTGTTGCGATTGGAGCAACTATGAGGACTTATCATCCCATTGGAAGGGATTGATAAGTTGATTTTGTTAGAGGTGATAGTTAACATAATAAAATTGTTTTGATCCCGACTGTGAGAAGGTGGGACCAAATGGTGATCTAGGTTACACTTAAGAACGCTGTTAGTAGCGTCTTATATAGGGTTCCCCGTCGGAGTATATGAAGTAGGAACAGTTTAGCCTCGTGTACTAGTTGGAGGGAGTGAGGACCAGTTTTAGACTCATGCACTCGTGGGAGTTTGTTGCGATTCGAGCAACTCTGTGGACTTGCCATCCTATTGAAGAGGACTGGTAAGTTGGTCTGTCAGAGGTAAGAGTTAACATGACAGGATTGTGCGTCGCAAGGATCAGTTTAGACTCATGTACTCGTGGGAGTTTGTTGCGAATTGAGAAACTCTGTGGAATTTCCATCCTATTGAAGAGGACTGGTAAGTTGGTCTGTCAGAGGTAAGAGTTAACATGATAGGATTGTGCATCGCGAGGACCAGTTTAGACTCATGTACTCATGGGAGTTTGAATGAGAACTAAGGGTAGTACTTCTTCAAGTACTTGTCGTTGACGGGCATCATGATCTTGTCGCCGTTCAGTTTGATGAGGCGATAAGCTCCGTTCGAATAGACTATCTCTACTACGAACGGTCCTTCCTATTTGGACTAAAATTTGCCCTTCTTCTTGGAAGTGAGAATCATTGGTTGTCGAACGGTTAGTACCAATTTTCTCTTCTTGAAGGATCGGCGCTTGACTTTCTTATCGAAAGCCTTGGCCATTCGGGATTGATAGAACTCAATGTGTTGTTGAGTTTCCAGTCACTTCTTATCCAACGCTTCAAGATCTGCGAGGCGCCATTGATGATTATCCTTAGTCATCATCCCCACTGCTAGGGTGACGCGGAGGGATAGAATTTAATTCTCTAATGGTAACATGGCCTCACAGCCGTATACCAATGAGTAAGGCGTGTTGACAGTCGGTGTGCGAACCGTGGTGCGATACGCCCATAAGCTCTCACCCAGTTTCTCGTTCCAATCGCGTTTGCTATTGAAAGTTAGCTTGGTTAAGATCTTAACAATTGTTTTGTTAAAGGCCTCGGCCAAGCCATTCGCCGAAGGGTTATAGGCTGTGGAGGAAAGGTTCTATATTCGGAACTTGTCACAAAACCTGATGAATGCATGACTAACAAATTGTGTTCCGTTGTCATGAATGATACGTCAAGGTACTCTGTATCAGTATATGACATGGTGTTTGATAAACTTAATCACATCATTGGTCTTGACTTCTCTTAAGGGGACGGCTTCGGCCCACTTAGAGAAGTAGTCGGTAATCGTGAGGATGAAGCAATGGCCTCTTGCCGACGGTGGGGATATTAGTCCGACTATGTCCATCCCCCATGCTTCGAAAGGCCATGATGCTTTTGTCGAGTGTAGGTCTTCGGGAGGTTGATGCATGTAGTTGGTGTGGATTTGGCACACGTGGCAGTGCTTTGCGTAAGCGACCGCGTCGCTAGCCATCCCAAGCCAAAAGTAGCATATCCTTCGTAAACGATCCCAAAGCTTGGGTCCAGGCTAGTGAGCTCCGCAAGTGCCGTCATGGGCTTCACGCAGAGCTTCTTGTGCTTCTGCCTTTGAAAGACATCGAAGTAACAAGCCGTCGTACGACCTTCGATACAAGAGCTTCTTGTGCTTCTGCCTTTGAAAGACATCGAAGTAACAAGCCGTCGTACGACCTTCGATACAACGTCTTGGTGGTCGAATCGTAGTAGAACCTCCAAGCCGTCGTACGACCTTCGATACAACGTCTTGGTGGTCGAATCGTAGTAGAACCTCGAGGCACGTCGCCGGACGGACTCTCGCTCCCTAGCGTCTTTGGGTAGCATGCCGTACAGGACATAATCAATGATCAGGAGATGCCAGTCATTCAGGTCGAGCTGATCCGAAACTTGATGGGTGGCGTTCGCTTCTGGAACATCCTTCAGTCGAAAGAGCCTTCGGCTTGCCACAGTAACCCATTGAGTCGTCTCTAGTGGCTGGGCCAAGTTAGCCACCAAGGATGTGAGGGCATCCGCATGCGTGTTCTTGGAATGAAGCACATGCTCGATGCAGAATCTTTCGAATGAGTTCACTAGCTTGGTAGCTGCTTTGTGAAGCGGGATCAAGTTGTCGTTTCTAACTTCGTACTCCCCCGTCATTTGCTTGATGATGAGTTGCGAGTTGCCGTAGGCCTCGAGATGCTTTATCCCTAACTCTCTTGCCAACTCAAGCCCAATGAGTAGCGCATTGTACTCAGCCACATTGTTGGTGCATGGCTCTGTTAGAGAGAAGGCTCGGGGTAATACGTGGTTATGTGGAGAAGTGAGGACCACCCCCACTCCTACAATAATAGAGCCGCTTGTACTGACGTGAGACGCGCCGTCGAAGAACATTTGCCAAACCTCTGGTGAATAAGTTATGTTGACCTCGGGGGGGTCATCTGGCAAATCTTTGAATAGGTCGGTCTTCGCGCCTAGCGGATGACTAGCCATAAGATCACAAATAGCCTGTCCTTTGACTAACTTCTGTGGCATGAAGTGAATGTCATACTGAGATGGTAGGAGCGCCCATCTGGCCAAACACCGGTTTAAAGTCGCAGGCTGCGTCATGAAAACTCGAATGGGGTTTATCCGGAAAATGACGTGGATTGTCTGGCCAACCAGGTAGTGTCGCATCTTTTGGATGGCGAATACTGAGGCCAAACACTCCTTTTCGATCATTGGGTACCGCTATTCGGCGTCTTGTAGGGTTCTACTTAGGTAGTAGATGCCCTGCTCGTGGCCAGCGTCATCATTTTGTGCCAAGAGGGCGCCCAGAGAATGCTCTATAGCCCTGATGTAGATGAGGAATGACTTTCCTGAGATTGGAGCTGCAAGGACGTGCGGGTTCGAGATATAAGCTTTGATCTCCTCAAAGGCCCGTTGGCAAGGCCCGTCCCACATGAAGGAAGTACCTTTCTTCATTAGTTTGGAGAAGAGTTGACACTTGCCCGAAAGATTTGAAATGAACCTCCAGATGTAAGCCAACCGTCCCTGAAGACCCCTAAGTTTCTTAAGATTTCGGGGCGGCTGAAGCTCTTGAATAGATCGTACCTTGTCTGAGTCAATCCGGATTCCTTTCGTCATGACAACGAAACCAAGGAATTTACCGCTAGACATCCCTAAGAATGACTTCGTAGGATTCATCTTGAGTTGATGATTCCTCATGAGTTCGAACATCACCCTCAAGTCTTGGAGGTGATCACATTTACAGCGACTCTTCATGACCAGGTTGTCCATATAGCACTCGACCGTCTTTCGTAGGTAATCTCGAAAGATCATGCTCATGGCGCGTTGGTAGGTTGCGCCAACATTTTTAAGTCCGAAAAGCATGACCGTGTAGCAGTACGCCCCCATGGGAGTTCTGAATGAAGTGTGTTTTTCGTCCTCGGGTGCATTTTGATTTGATTGTACCCTGAGAACCCACCCATGAAGGACATTCTCTCAAACCCACACGTGTTATCGATGATGACGTCCATGATGGGTAAAGGAAACTCGTCCTTAGGGCACGTAGCATTGAGATCCCTGAAGTCAATGCAGATGTGAATCTTACCATTCTTCAGGACTGGAACAATATTGGCTACCCAGTCGGGGTGCTGTTCATCTCTGATGAAGCCGGATTCGATTAATTTCTTCACTTCGGCCTCGATTGCTTCCATGATCTGCGGACAAAACCGCCTCTGTTGTTATTTGACTAGTTTGGCATCCGAGCTGATGTTGAGGCGATGCATGGCGACCTGTGGGTCGAGGCCGAGCATGTCCTCATAATTCTATGCGAAGACATCAATGTATTCCCGTATGAGGGTGACAAGATCTTCTTTCTCCTGAGGAGGCAGACTACCACTGATGAATATGGGCTTGGGATTAGCCTCATCACCCATGTTCACTTGAATGATTTCGTCTTCGGTCGGTGGTTCACGTTGCTCGAAGCGACTATTCCACTGAGCGTTGACGTGGCGATCCCATGTCTCGTCATAAAGTGGGACATGGCCGTCCTCTGCCATTTCAGTGGGATCAATTGCAGCCATGTTGACTGTAAGGTTATCGAACAAATTCCTTACGCTGACATCTGAATCCCACACCGAGGTTGTCGATGACCGATCCCACGAACGGGCATCGTCAGAGTCCTCGTTGAAGTAGCAGAACAATTCCGATGAGGAAGAGGCGTAGCCCAAACCTCTTCGGGTCTTGTTGAAGTAGTTTGAGGGTTTGCCTTTAGGCACATAGGTAGGTCGGATGACTGTCCTTCATCCTCGACCGTAATTCAGGCCTTCTAGACGAGTGAGGCTGTATCCTATGCTGCTCATTATGCGCTTCGCGGTTTGACTGTACTGCGAAAACTGAGGCGCGGGGTCTTCTTCTTCAGATTCATCCCACAGCGTGCGCAAAGGGTGATCGATTAGCCCAAAGATAATATCTTTTTGATAGTTATTCCGTGCTGGTATGACGAGTACAGCTTGCGATGACTTGATCGGCTGTGCCTTCGTGACATACGACGAGCATACAGGAAAGTGCAGAGAGCAGTCGTTATAGAGTTTTAACACTAGGTTATTAGGCGCATCATCCTCGGATGTTGAGCAAGACGATAAATAAGCAAAGTTGAACTTCTCATTCATAATAATCTCCTCCGCCTGAACAGTGTTGGTTATATTGTGACTTTCGCAGCCAATTACAATTGATTCAAAATCGTTTAGGACCAGGCCGTCACCATACTCGGGCTCGCTATCCGCCTCATTGCCGCTCTCGAGTTCCTCGATCGGCAGTTCGTCGAGGTCTTGGTACAGCAGAGAGTCCATGAAGTAGTTCTCGACGCCTTTGAAGGGTTGTTTGTCAGCTACTACTGTCTTCACGTGATCATAGTCATCCATGTATTTTAAACATTGATGTAAGGTAGATGGGACTATTCGGTTACCGTGGATCCATGGTTGTCCTAAGAGCATATTGTAGGATGGCTCGGCGTCGATGACATAACAGGTCACCTCTGTCTTCATGTCGCCTATCCGGCACTTCAGGCGTATTTTGCCAAGCGGTCGGGTGCCCGTGGCGTTGAAGCCGAGATAGTCATGGTCGTTGCAAAAAGGCGCTTTGAGGGCACCCCCGGATGTTTGATCAGTTTCAGAGGCATGATGCTTAGTGCAGACCCTGGGTCGACTTGAATTCGATCCACTTTTGAGGAACCGACGTATCCTGTGAAGTACAGTGGTCGATCATGGGAAGTACTTTTGATGAGCATGTCCTCAAAAGTGAAAGTGATGCAAGGGACCCGCCTTTTGGTGGTTTGGCAACACATCACACATTACCGTTCCGTGTCTTCTTTCCCCGAGAAGTGGGTGGTGAAGACTTCGGAGTCGGCCAGTGTTTCTTGTAGGGCTTCCCGAGTGGGTCTGGATAACCGCAGGAGGTCATAAATGGTAATTCGCGCGGGGATGCTCTTTAGCTGTGCGAGTACGTTAAAACGGAAAGGTTGATTACTCGAACTTGGTTTATCGATGCCCGGAGGGGCTGCTGCAGCTGGCCTCGCGGGAGGCCCTGCCGGGGGGTCTTCCGTTCTCGCGGGATACTCCTTGGTGAATTCCTTCCCTACCCTTGTGGCGAGGATGGTGGGCTCCTCCTCGGAGTCGGTGGGGGTGGTCATTGATATCTTATCTCTACCCAGGATGGCGGAGATGACATTGCAAGGTTTATCGTTAACCTTTTTTGAGGGCTTTGAGGTCCATTGCTCGTCATTGAGGAGATCCGAATGGACCCACATTACCTGTCCTGACAGCAAAATCTAAGGTACTAAGCCTTTCCCTCGTTGATTGTGAGGGTCGTCATTAGTGATTTTTAGGACGGCTTTGGGGATAGGGATTATCCCTGCCGGAGCCTGAACCTCTGGGAGATCTGTCCCAAAACTTAAGGTGATCATATTCTTGGTCACCTGCTTTTGTATCTTCTCCTTCTTTAGGACTCCTGCATCGTAGAGGGCCTGAAGCTTGTCCTTAAGGATGTAACACTTAGAGGTGTGGTGGCCAAGGAATCTGTGGTAGGCACAATAACCCGGGTCATTAGTTTTGCTTGCCTCTTCAGGCTTTGTGACCTCTGGTAATTTAATTCGATTGCTCTTGAGTAGAGTATCGAATGTCATCACCACTTGGTCTTCCTTGAAGTCGTATTACCGTGGGAGGCGTTGCTCGAACTGCCGGGGCTTCGGTCCTTGAGCCGTTTTGGGTTCCAGGGTGGAATCGACGGCCATGATCTCTTTTCCTCTTGTTCGAGGAGGATTCTTTGGAGCGGTTGGTTCTACGGCTCCCTTCTTGGGATGTGGCTCCTCGGCTTCTAGCGAGGAGGATTCTTTGGAGCGGTTGGTTCTACGGCTCCCTTCTTGGGATGTGGCTCCTCGGCTTCTAGCCTCTTGATCATGTTCTCTACTTGCTCGCCCTGGCGAACAAGTTCCTTCCAGGTTCGGGTTTCCACCACGCCGACCTTGGACAAAATGTGGATTAAGAGATTATTGCAGCACATTTCGATCAATGTAGACTCGGAGACCAGGTCCTGGCAGTGAACTGACCGATTCCTGAATCTCTTTACGAAATCATTGACCGATTCCGACTTCCGCTGCTTCTCGGCGAGGATGGTGGCCATTGACACCTCCGTGTCATCGTCGAAGAAGCGGGCCAAGAAGAGCCTTTTTGCATCGGCCCAAGACGTGATGGAGCTAGGCTCTAACTTACGGAATCATTCAAAGGCCACCCCTTTGAGGGTACCGATGAACAATTGGGTGAGGATGGCGTTGTTCCCCGTGAGGAAACCAGTTTGCGCCATAAAGTAATAAATGTGTTGCGAGGGCGAACCCTTACCGTCAAACTGCACCAGACTAATCTGCTTGAACTTCATAGGGTATGGGACTGTATCCCACTCGACAGGATAAGGTCGGATCACCCCCAGTTTATTCATGTTTTGTTGGAGTTTCAAAGCGTTGAGTTGGCTTTGGAACTCATCGAACCTCTTGTCGTGGGCGCTACCCCCAGTATGTGACGTCCCTAGTGATGTCTTGGAAGAGTGATCGGATTGTGGACCGATATCATCCTTCGTTTTAGTTGCCGGACGATGGGGAGGTACCCACTCCTTATTCCTCGCCCGTCGCGGTAAGATGTGCTGGGTTCATTTCTTCTTTTTCTTTTTATTCAGAAGCTGCTCTAACATCTCCCTTAGGGAGTGTGTACCCTTGTCAGTGCGTCCTGACTTGAGTGCGATGTTTGAGACGTGGCTGCCCGCCGAGTAAACCTCGTCTTCACCGTAGGAGGGAGGTGCAAAGGTAGAGTAATCAAACCCGATGCTTGCCCTCGTACGACTATGGGTATGCTGGTATATGCCGCCTTACTCATGCTGAACAAGCTGAGGATTAGGCCCCAGGACGGAGTCCGAATCTAGGGAGTCAGAAAGTGTCGTCTTACCCCTATCCGTCATGTTGATCGTAGTGGACGGGAGCTCTAGATCATCGGCGGCGCGTCCTCTTTGGTGACGACGCCTTCGACGAAAAAGTCTCGGTTGGGAAGGGCATTGAGAAAGCCTCCCGAATACCGAAGGTTTCCTCATTTCTATACATTGGCAGTCTGCGAGTACTGTTTGGATAAGCCTTTCGCAGTGGCACTTAGGATTCGCCTCATGTATGATGCATTTTTGAGTTAGGTAACTCCGGAGGTCTTCTGTGGACGATTGGCGAAAACCCTCAACATCAGCAGGATCGTCCGGGTGATCGCACGAGAGAGTTTTGGATGCACTCCCTGTTGTGCATTGGGTGGAATGTTTGGGTGCTGGAGTTGGGCGAGTTCGCCTTGACAGGCGAGTCTTGCCCATTTTGATTGGCGCGCGAAACTCAAACTCTTGATCACGTAGGCGAGTTTGTGAGATATCGCCTACCGCTTTACCTTTGCGGTTAAGGCTCTTCTGCTCGTTACGCTTATCCGTCAGGCGGCCATGGTGAGACTCGCCCGCCTTCAAAGGTTCGCCTATTTGGGTAGACTTGTTTGCATCAGGGACGTGACCAGAAAAGTGAAGTCCACCTGAGTGGGCGGTCATGCCCATTTTGATTGGCACGCCTGAGT